CAGCCTTGACCTCCCCACTGGTTTGGGCCTCATGCCAGAGTCCAGGGACACTGCTCTGCCAGACTACACCTGTCCTTGCTTTGAGTGTCACCAGAGCATAAAGTCAGAAAGACAGATTCTCCTGGCAAATCCACATGAAATTCCCCCCAACCTTCTGGGCCCCTTTCACACTGATCCAGAAGCATCACACATCAGAGGGACCCAACCATCTTTACTTCAAATTACAGGTGCAGGATTGTAGACAAAGCACTTGACTTTGATTGGGGGGTGGGAGACATTCCCCGACCCACACTTGATCATCTGGATTGTATCCCAGTGACTTTGAATGGGTCTGACGCTGCCTCGGTGATTCTTGCCCGAGAGGCCTGGTCTGCCAGGGAGACCTTCTAGCTCCTTCCCAGGTCTCAGATCTTCTCTTTAGATCTCAAATGTAGATCTCCAGGTGTCACTGAGGCCAACACACTCCCACGTGGTGCTTCCTCACTTTGTCTTCTCTCCTGATTAATACCAGGATATTTGCTCTCCCACATTGTACTCTGGGGCCTGCCCTTCCTTAGTGCTTCTATTATTGGTGATCTCAAGCTCTGTGACACTTTAGGTGTGTCACACCTAGGACATCTGTAGCTCTAGAAGTCAGGACGTGTCTAATCCCTCACAGGGCTGGCATGTATGGTCAGTGATCCCTGCATGTGTACAAAACTGCTATTTCTTGAATACAGAACCTATTTACTCATCTGTAAGAGAAGAGCCACTGGTGACCTCATGCTGGGAAGAAGACATAGTCCATGCTGTCCTAAGAAACCTGAGGAGAGCTACAGTGTGTTCAGCCAGCTTGATTGCAAAGCCCTGCAGCACCATCTGGGATATCTGCATAGACTCAACATTTTCTGCCCTGGGCGTGGAAATAACTAAGAGCCACACATCCTAATTTTCTTAACTGACTCCAGAGATGACAATGCCTTCCAACTCAGCTAACCGGTCTCAGATCATCTTACCTTGTGGTGGACAGGGAGGTGGTGGATGTAGCAGCAGTAGCCCAGGACACATATCTGATGATAAAAGGCCCTGCTTGGGGTAGGGCATCCGGGGATGTCCTGGGAAAGGAGGGGGCCCTTTCCCAGCCATGTTGACCTGCAGAGAAGAAGAAGATCAAATTATGTTGATATGACAGTGAATGATACCAACACAAAAGCTGAAAGTGAAGCAGGTGTCAGTACCTGGCTCCTTCCCTTCTACCAGTACTCATAATGGCCACAAAAGTCTTTCTTCTACTAAGTTTTGGCAAAAGCGAAGGGAGAGAGGGTGAGTCATAGGAATAAACTATTCTTACCACATGTCATGGCCTGGGCCTACCCATGTAGGAAAGGCTAGGGATTGGTCCCAATGGATGAAATAAGACAACTGCAGACTAATAACAGGGCATATTCCAGACACAGGAGCATCTATGTCCAGGACAAGTCCCACCTCTCCCTCACCATCCCCACCACAGATACCCATTACCAACAAGTTAACAGAGAAATGAGAGCAAACAAAGAGTCTGTTTACCCTACATGTAGGAACAGCTACTCTGAGGAAAACTGTCTCTGGGTCTTTCTTATCCTATTTGATTTTCAGAACTCTAAAATCTAATAAGGACCTAAACATACTTAACAGAATATCTGCTCTGACACCAAGAGACCAGTGACTCCCAGGGAAGAAAAAAAGTTTTCTCAGGTTCATACTGTTTATAGGAGGCAGAAAGGCAGTTCGTATCAACTCTGACTGCAAGTCCCTCCCTCATGGCCCTTTGCTTCCCTCCCTAACATAGGGACTTCTCACTGGATGTGCAGAGTGAAACCTCAGGCCTCAGCCTCCAACCCTTCTAGAGAGGCCATAAGATTCCAATGAGCTGGGAATTCTGTAGGCTCTTGGGGAAGATTTTGCTTTTTAAAAAGACACAGAACACACACCAGGAGAGGGACCACATGAAAAGTTAAGGTTTCCTGACATCATCACATTGAAAAAGGCCTCAGCATTTACCTTTTTCTTTCCTGCATCCTCTGGAGGGATCATGCAACTTCTTTCCATGGGAAATGCACAATGAACAGAATCTCCTATGGCCAGACAAGTCTGGGGTTTAGTGTGACTTGCACTTTCTGTGCAGTAGAATAACAACCCCTGCATGCCTTCCCTCACTATCTTACTCTAATTCACATACGCAGGTCCCTTCATTGAGGCAGAGAGTTTACCACATGCCTCAGATGATCCATGAAGACACTGGAGAAACCCATGCCCTGACTTGTGAGAAAGCCATCGCAGAACCCTGATTTGGGGGGGGATTTCAAAACAACCCATCCACTGGCAGATAGACCAGGACTCCAACTAGCTGGAATTCAGCACTAAAATAGGGGTTTCCTACCACACCTGAGGTAAAAGGAGCTAAAACAGCCATGGAAAGGAAGAGTATCAACCAATCTTGGCAAGAATAGCACCAGTCTTTTTCTTCAAGCTACAGTGAACTTTTTTTTCTTGGTCTCTATGTAATTTGATATATCATATCAGATAAGATTTTGTGTAAATGTTTATGAACAGAAATGGGCTTGTAAGAATAATGATACGAATGAGAAAAATATAGTGCTATGGGATTTAACTGTAAAGAATTCAGAATACACAATTTCAGAGGAGTGAAATTATGTGAATTAAATTTACTAGAGGTTCTACAGTTCATAGGTAAAAAATCAAAACAGATAAAGAACAAAAAAATCTCAAAAAAAACCCCTCTAAATAAATGTCTACTTTCTTAAAGCAGACATGTA